AGAAGCTGATTGGTTTCCCTGCACAGCTGCTTCAGATTCTGTCGGCTCCAATCTTAGTAAATCCCCCTGACTTTATTAGGATTGTATTTAGAATTCTAAATCTAACTCTGTTGCTAGGAACTAGAAAATAAAGTTCAGATCCTTAAAACAAAGAAGAGTGTTGTATATAAAGCTATTTCAGTCGGCAATATACTTTATATAAATTATACTGACACACAGGGGCGGACTGACCATTTGGAAACTCGGGCACAGCCCGAGGGCCCGGGGTCAGTAGGGGGCCCCATGAGATGCCCCTGGTACCTTTTTCATAGGCTTTTTTGAGTTTGAGCAAGGACACAGGGGCCCCATGATCCCCTATTGCCCGGGGGCCCCATGAGTTGTCAGTTCGCCCCTGGCAAGGACACAGGGGCCCCATGATCCCCTATTGCCCGGGGGCCCCATGAGTTGTCAGTTCGCCCCTGCTGACACATGCATATAGGTGCATACAGTATATATATATTAGTGTATGTTTGAGTCAAACATCAGCCGTTCGTATGTTCGGTGAACAGTAAGGGCATTCGGCAGGCTGTTCACTCGCCGCGCCCCACAATACACTGTGCCCTGATAGGGGCAGCTGTCAGACGGCAGGAGCCAGTGTCGAGAGCAGTGTTTTTTTTTTTTTTTCTTTTTTTGGGTTGGCTGTGGCAGCGGGCATCATGACTGAAGTTGGATCTACTTTGGGGGAGATCATTTTTTTAATTTTTGTTTTGTCAAAGTTGTCAAAGACTGTCTCCTGTCATTTTTCCACTACATTTTTTTTTTGTGAATGGGTAGCGGTACCATGTACCCCATACTCATTCACATAGGGGGGTGGGATCTGGGGGCACCCTTGGGGCCCTTGTCCCCATCAACATGGAGCCCCCCTGCCCCAAAGCACCCCCCCATGTTGAGGGCATGTGGCCTGGTATGGTTCGGGGGGGGGGGTGCTCGCCCCCCCCCCCTTTCTTGACCTGCTGGGCTGCATACTCGGATAAGGGTCTGGTTTGGTTTCTTGGGGGGACCCTCACGTGATTTATAGAAAACTTTTTGGCATGGAGGTTAACCTCAAAATCCATACCAAACCTAAAAGGCTTTCTATGGATGGGGGGGGGGGGGGCACTCGTTTTTTAAAATAAAGTTTTATTTGCTGGGTAATGCCAGCTGAAACAATAATGGATGTTTTTAGTAGCTGTGTGGTATCTTACCACATATTCAGATAAGGTACGATACTGCTTAGTGAATTGTGCCCTCTGTTCAAAGTTCGCAGTCGAACTTTCGTTATGTTCGAGTGTTTGACTGCAAACCGAATAGGGGATGTTCGGCCCATCACTAATATAAATATATATATATATATATATATATATATATATATATATATATATATATTAAATTGCACACATACATATATTGTAAAACAGATTATGGGCTAGAATTTCATGTACAATCTGCAGAAGTGCACTCTAGCCCCCTAGTGGTAGCTATGTAGAAGTCCATCCATTTCTATACATACAGTACACCCAGACGATACACTTATTGCGCTCCCTGGGGGAGATGTGCTTCAGAGGACATATTAATGGTAATTTATAGACAGCGCGGACGGCCATGCACGAGTGTGAGTCATACAGTTATACTGGTAATAGTTACAGTAGCTGTTTAATAGCTTGTCTGGTTACAGGCTTTCCCTGCTCACACCGAATCCCATCTTATGTAATGATTTTGCAGCATGATACTAGCCTGGGGTGTGAAGGTTTTAAAGCTGATGTAATACAATTTTTTATGCTGAACTCAAGACAAATGTTAAAAAAATCTTATTTTAATATATTATTTATCTTGCATTCATTTCCAAGGAAAAAAATGTATTTTTAGATACAGCTAGTACAACAACCCGCACCTGTCCTTATATAATGTTTTCATGACCTTCAGTGTAGCAGAATACGAATGGCTGGTTTTGGGCTGTATAGGAGCTCAAAGGGTTCTGATCTCGCCTCTGATTGCACACTTGAGACCGCATTCGCCTCTGATCGCACACTTGAGACCGCACTCGCCTCTGATCACACACTTGAGACCGCGCTCACCTATGATCGCATTCTTGAGACTGTGATCGCCTCTGATCCCACACTTGAGACTGCGCTTGCCTCTGATCCCACACTTGAAACCGCGCTCGCCTCTGATCCCACACTTGACAGCATGCTCACCTATGATCGCACACTTGAGACCGCGCTCGCCTCTGATCGCACACGTGAGACCGGTCTCACCTCTGGTCCCACACTTAAGAATTTTAAGAGGAACTCCGACCACAGAGCACCACATCACAGAGGTGGGAATGCTTTGAGGAAAGGTTCACACCTGGTGGGAACATGCACAAAATCATACACTTTCCCAACACGCACAGAAGCGTACTACCCTTTAGAACAAGCGGGGGGGGGGGGGGGGGGCATTATTTGTCATTGGCACCCAGACGCATCTGCTAACGTATGTTTCCACATGCGATAAGCTGCATCATGTTGCAGCACCATGCAGTGTGTTTTTGAACAGGGTCGGTGACTTTACTTTTCTGTGTTTCTGGCCCGTAGAGCAGCCCATTGAAATAAATAGGCTGCCTACATGCGACGTGCGGGCATGTGCGGAAATTGCGCACTTGCTCGCTTGCACCTGCATGTGTGAGCCTACTCTAAGAACATTTAAAAAGAACACTCACAAGTGTTTTAAAGTGGTTGTAGACCTCAGACATGAAATATGAACAAAGCATATCCAGCTATAGTGCGTACTTGTCTCAATACAGAGCACTAAGTTTAATTTCTGTCTGCTGCCTTGTTCTTCCTCTGCTATCAGCATGAATTACTTCTGACAAGTTTTCTTGACACCAAAAGAAAAAGGGTGACAGGGGAGGGACCTCTAGCAGAGTGACATCCTCAGCTCTTCTCCTGGGTGCTGTGTAGAGGGGGGGGGGGTGTCCCTTCCCTCCAATCAGCTCTCAGAGCTCTCCTAACTGAGCTCTGTAGTGTGTAATTTCAGCTCTCCGCCCACTTTTTCCTGAACTCTCAGACAAGCTTTATAAATTCTGGACTTTAAATGGATGTATAAAAGGGATGGTTCAGAGAAACAGGTACAACTTATTTAGGAGGATTTGTTCCATCTCTGTGTATCGCTTGAGGCCAGTCACTTCACTGGGTATGGGTAAAGGTTTACAACCACTTTATATGTTAGTCCTTGTCCATTGTCCACAGCCCTATATGTCTGCCAGGCACTGAGCAGTCGATCTATTTATTTTCCGATCGATCCCTCCTGATAGGAATAAGCAATCTATAGTCAATAACACAATTGATCGATATGACACACACAGGTAGGTGGATTTTGATCAATAGTTGGTGGACATTCATGCTTGAATTGTATTATCCGATTAAGTGATCGAATTGGAAAACAATTGGATACAACCAGGGGCAGACTGACAACTCATGGGGCCCCCGGGCAATAGGGGATCATGGGGCCCCTGTGTCCTTGCCCAAACTCAAATAAGCCTATGAAAAAAGTACCAGGGGCATCTCATGGGACCCCACTGACCCCGGGCCCTTGGGCAGTGGCCGAGTTTCCAAATGGTCAGTCCGCCCCTGGATACATCTTCCCTTCCAATCAGTTTAGATCAGATTCGATCAAACTGAGTCGATCGGCCAAGGCGAAAATTATTGATCGCGCTGCAACAGTTGTCAGCACTGAGATGCCTTGCTTGTGAAGTTGATCCTATTTTACCCAAAACAGAGATGTGATCAGTAAGCTACAGTTGTATCTTCCAGCTGTTGATCGAAATCCACTTCCTCATAGGTGTCACATCCATCAGTTGTGTTGTCCTCTATAGATTATTCCTTTTGGGAGTGATTGGAAAAAGAAATTGATCGTTTATCAAAACGTGTATGGCCGCCGTAACTCTGATCAGGGTCTGGCAGGGACTTTTCCAGGGACAAGGGATATTCTTTAAATACTTCTGAATGTTTTTTTTTACTACCTTTTAATAAATAATTAAATTTTATAGAGATCTAGTAATTTGTAGATATCAGGGGCGGACTGACCATTTGGAAACTCGGGAACTGCCCGAGGGCCCGGGGTCAGTAGTGGGCCCCATGAGATGTCTCTTTCATAGGCTTTTTTTTTAGTTTGGGCAAGGGCACAGGGGCCCCATCATCCCCTATTGCTCGGGGGCCCCATGAGTTGTCAGTCCACCCCTGGTAGATATTATTAATAGTATATCTTTTATAATGTTCCAGATATATCAATTATATTTGTTAGTTTTATACCTTTAATAAATAATTGAACTCATTTTACAGATCATTTTATATACATTATTTTAATACATTTCATTAATAATTACGTTACAGATGTATGAATATATTATCATTAGGAATTGTATACATTTACATTTTAATTGTACAGATGTATCTATAAATATTACTAGATCTGTATCTTGAATACATTTTTACAGATACACATTTATATATATATATATATATCATTTGTTACACCTTTAAAAAAAATAACTAGAAAAGCTGATACGGCGGAGGAGAGCAGAGACTGATCGGACGCAGCACAGCGCAGGATTGCGCTCACTCCGGCGCTGCGCTCTGTCACCCCCAGGCGGCCGGTTGCCGGGTAACAGCGAAGAAACATGAAAACATTGGCGCAGCGCTCTCGGGCTCCTCCCAGCGCTCACATGCCAGCCGCCTGCGGTCATGAGACCGGCTTGGGCTGCATTGGCTCATAGGGAAGACTCGCAGGAGTTAACCCGAGTCCTCGCCCTAGCCCTGTTATGGAGAGAGGCTTCCCCCTTCAAGCCTCGCCCCCTTTTTCATCATCGTTACCATCATCACTGGGGCCCCTCCTCTCCCTCCTCCCTCTGGTCCCCCCTTGCATCACCGGCCGGGGCTGCTATAAATAACATGACGTCAGGCGCACCGCATTCCAGAACGGCCCCTCCACTATATAAAGAGGTG